GGGGGGGGGGGGTAGGCTAGACGCCCTTTGATCGTGGCATGTAAGCAGAGGCGTAGCGATGTTGTTTGGCGCCCGGGGACAAGATTCGTGCCCGGGGACAAGATCCATTTTAAAGCGCCCCCTTTTCTTTCTTTCAACTCTCAAATCCATTTTTTTTACCAATAATATAACATCAAAGCACATTTTGGCGCCCCTAACTAGCTTGCGCCCGGGGACATCTGTCCCCCTGCCCCCCCTCACAACGCCTCTGCATGTAAGCACAAATCCCCACCATCTTCTTTCTAGCCATTTATTGTCACGCGTGCCAGTCATAACCAAAACAAGGAATTTCAACCCATGTTTGTATCGATTACCGGAAATTTCGTCGAAAGAAATTTCGTCGAAAGAAATTTCGTCGACGGTAAATTGATCGAAGGAAGATTGATCGAATGGAAATTTGATGGAACGGAAGTTTGACCGAACGGAAATTTGATCGACCGGAAGTTTGGTCGAACGGAAATTTGATCGACCGGAAGTTTGGTCGAACTGAAATTTGATCGACCGGAAGTTTGACCGAACGGAAATTTGATCGAACGGAAGTTTTGTCGAACGGAAATTTGATCGACCGGAAGTTTGATCGAACGGAAATTTGATCGAACGGAATTTTAACGGACGGAAGTTTGACCGGACGGAAATTTGATCGAACGGAAGTTTGGTCAAACGGAAATTTGGTCTGACAAATACCATTTGAGAGAAAACATACTGGATGGAGAGTGGAACTCTATATTGAAGTATTTTATATCTCTTCATTGCCTCAATAGCTCGTTCTATGTGAATCCCAAGCTTAGCAATTTGCTTTGTTTTCAATTCTTCTTGAGGTGTAAGCCTTTTTTTGTTTTTCAAAAATGGTGGAATAACTAAAGTTACTTTCATAGGCAGCAGATTGTCCTCTATAGTAAAACCTCGGTCAGCCATAATGACATCCCCAGGTTCTAAAAATGCTGACAAAATACTTCAGTGCAATCTATAATGCATCTCAAATTTTTATATTTCTTAAATCCAGCAGGCATATGCTTACATCCCTTGATGCAAATATTGTTGGCTGGATTGTGTTAAATTTTATGAACATAAACTGTACCCATGTAATAATTATTTTGCTAACCAGTCCAGAACAAATACCAAATTCATATGCTAAACAGGCATGACCTCGGCCTGTTTTCAACCTAACAAGAGTTAATAAAAGCTCATTTGTAAGTGTTAATTTTCTACCTTTTCTTGTTACATAACCTTTTTCATCTTCTTTTTCACCCCAGTAAGTCAAGTGATACATTTCCTTACCTAAAAATAAGACTTAAGTATTGAATTCACTTAGGCATAGACCTGTATATATCTTAAAGTGTTGATCAGACTTAGACAGTGATTCAAATGATAACAACATTTGCATGGGTTTGTATTTGCATGGAAGTGGAGTATATTGAACAGATTTTTTTTCTAGTGCAATGAGTTTTGACTGAGCCCACTGAAGTTCACTCTCCAGACAAATAACTTTATTCGTTAAAGTCTTCTTCTCAATGATTTGCTGTAGTTCTGGTTTGTTGTATGCCGTTTGTGTGCCCCTCTCACGTGAACCTGTCATTAATAGATTTAAAATATTAATTTGTAAATCATTAAATACTATAATACTCATTTTCATTGCATTGTATACTTTGCATAAAGGTGATGAAAATAAAGAATATATTGAAAAGTTAAAATGTTTATTATTTATATGTTATTAAATAATTCTATGTACCGGTACCCATATTCTATGAAATTAAAATATGTTCAAAAATAATATATAAAGCATACCTGATCAAATTTCTAGGACAATTCTACCCATTAGTTTTTTAGAATGCTTATAAGCTATACAATTTATACATTGAGTACCCACAGAATTTGCAACGCACCCGGTATAAGACACCTAGTGTGGAGAATGGTTGCAATATGCTATCGTGACATCAAGAAAGGTGCCAGTGGGTGTTTTGCAATGGAATATTAAATGTAAATACATAATAATCTGGTAAACAGTATAATTTCACCTTCAGAATTCACAGTAGAGTTGTCCTCATCAAAGGACTGGCAGGACTGTCTTATGGTTGACACTGGCTCATCTAAGCACTGGCTTGTGGTTGTCACTGGCTCATCTAAGCAGTGGCTTGTGGTTGTCGCTGGCTTGTGGTTATCACTAGCTTTGAGTTGTCCTGTTTGTCTCATTTTGGGATTCTTTCTTTTTTTTTGAAAAATGTTTCACCTGCAGATACAACAAAATGACTTATAAAATCTGAAGATTTATCTACATGAAATTATTACAGTCAGTATAAGAAGTAGTCAGACTTAACTTACACCAGATCACCACATTATTATTGCATAAATTATAAAGCATTATATGAATGGGCAGGGATAGCATACTATTTTTACTGTATAAATTATAAAGTATTACATGAATGGGGCAGGGATAGCATACTATCTATTAAGTTGAAGCAGTTGTCACTGGAACCTGAATAGTAAATGATCTCTGAGTAGACTCATCCATAATTAAAATTTAATTAACTATTTATTTATTAAGAAAATGAAATAAACTTGTCTAACTAAAGCTGCCTACCTGTGTATCGTTGAAATGAGCAGGTATAGAATCTGGAAACTTTTCTGCGGGACCTTTTCCACCAACAAAATGTTTACTGCATACATACATGTGTCTAGATAGACTGTGGACAAAAAAACCTACTCTGCTACAGGCTGTCACAGATGGGATGGTATTATGAGGTAATGGCCGTACTTATGGTCATGTACCACGATGTTTTGGTGGTGTTATGAATAGTACTGGGCCGTTCCTCTCTGTGATGGTTCACTAATCCAGGCGTTGAGAAGTACGACCAAGAGAACACAGAACACGAATGAATGAATAAACAACTCCTCATTAACAGTTATAAGTAAAAGATGTATTGATCACTATAATAAGATTGTAATGTCTCCTTTCTAACTGTTAACACTTCGCTATCTATCCCTAATTCTATCTCTGACTACGGCTAGAAATACTACGTCTGTTACAACAGAACGACCGTCCACGAATCTCTCCCCCCTCTTTATGCCACGAAGAGTTCTATGTTATATACCATTCTCTACCTCCCTAGGTGGTCCAGGAATGCTGGCAATTAACCCATCTATACCCCCCTCATTTCCGGTCAATTAGGAACTTCCGTCGTCAACCCCAAAGTTGTCACACGAAGTCTGGGAAATCCGAGACATAATGTTATGGAAAGAAGCATCCCCTTAATCTAAAAGATACGAGAATGTGTTAGCCTTACCCCCATGCGCCCAACAGTTCCCTCCCTAAGATCACAGCAATTTCCGTTCATCCCATAAGTTATCTGAAGAACAATGGAGCTCTGTTGTTAACCCCCGACCCAGTCATTTGTGACACAGGCGTGAACCCATCTTTTACATTTTTCTAAATCTTTGTGAGTCTTAGGAAATGGATGAAACCTAACACCCTGCATGTGCGGACGATCCTTGTATCTAGAGTCGCTGTTACATGTGCCATACGCGCAATGAAGTCCCATTTCACAAAATGTAGATCCTTGAATATAGGAATAGCAGTAAAACAAAAAGTTGTAAAATATTTCATACAATTGAGATGTAAACAAAGTTTTGATTTAGGTTAAGGCCATTTCGCTAACATAGCAGTACTGAACAGTGTTGACATTGTGTCCGTACCGAGTTCCCGGATCATGAGTAATGATGACATCAATTCTATTAATAGATTTCCGCCATTAAATGACAAGCCCTATTACTCGAGGTGCCACAGTACATTGTCATTTTTAATAAAAACCTGTAAATTCAGGGGGGGGGGACAATTCCCCCCCCCCCATCCTACCCAAAATGACGTCCCTGTTCAGTTGCATAAGTTCAACAACCCCCCCCCCCCAATCTTATTTCCGATTATTGCCTGATATTCCTCTCCATCTGTAAAGTGAAGGGAAACAAACAGCAGCAAACCAAAGAAACTGGCCTAACTCAAAACGATTCGTCACAAACTCCCATCCCACAGTATTGTCATCAAGTCATAAGAAGATTACCTAAGCAACATTTTAATGATAACAACACACTAGTCATAGGCTAACAGCAGATAACGCTTGCAACTATTCTCACCCAGCGGCGGAACTACGGCAATTTTATTTTAGGAAACCCGGTGCCGTCTTAAGACGTGCACACTTGGCATTTTTAAAGGGCCCCAAGCTTCTAGGGCAGTGGTTCTCAACCTATCTAGTGCCGCGACCCCTTAATACAGTTTCTCGTGTCGTGGCGACCCCCCAGCCACACAATTATTTTCGTTGCTACTTCATAGCCGTAAGGATATTTGTTTTCAGATGGTCTTAGGCGACCCCTGGAAAAGGGTCCCGCGACCCACAGGTTGAGAAACACTGTTCTAGGGAATATCAAGGCCCGCATATTGTTTAGGAATATTGAAAGTGATATACACAATTTAATTCGCTTTCAATGTGCAGTGGGAAGCAGGTTTCCCAAGTTTTGTGAACAAGTTTTTCAATTTCCGAAACAATTCCACTTATTGGTACTCGCTGAGTTTCTCCCCAAGCCCAATCTCCCATTTCGTTCGAAGGGCCTCAGTGCAATACTTTGCCTAGAGCCCCCATTTCTGTCAAAACGGCTCTGCGCTTAAGAAACCATGCCAGCCAGCAACTTGATCTAAATAATTTGTGGTATCTTCTTTAATTTGGGATTTTCCATGCAGGGTCGAGGGAAAAGAGAAAGGGGGGGGGGCGAGCGAAAATATTGGAGGGGTGGGTCGAACGGCACACCCGACCCTGGTATCATCTTCAGAGTATCGCCAAAATCGTCACCTTTCGTTCAAAATTTCTTTTCAATAATAGCCCTACTTTTGGGGAGAAGAAAGCGCATAAATTCAGCATTTGCCCCTGGTGCAGCTTTTGCTTGCCACAGCCCTGGTTCCAAAAGTTCCAGGCAGGGTTTCTTTCACCCAAGTAGAGCAAAAATATGTCCAACAATAAAGCAACTGGAACTGCTGGCACTGCCCCCCCCCCCCGAAAATCAGAAGTGCCCCTCCTGGGGAAAAATTCTGAAAGAAACACTGGTTCCATGACAGATCACTACACATTATTAAATCAATGAGTGAACAAAGACACCCTATAATCTGATTAGCTTTGCTATACTTGATGATCTCACATGTCCAAGTCAACTGCAATGACCGAGATGTGATGTCTCAGTGTTAAAAGTTGTATGGGGAAGAAATGGATATTATTTGCCTGCGAAAATGCAAGCATGTTTAAGTGGCGTAGGAAGGGGGTGGAGGTGGCAGTCTGACCCCAACGCTACCTTTTTCTTTATATGGCTATATGGAGAGACAATGCAGGTGTTTTTTTTTTTGTTTTTTTTTTTGTGGAAACATTTTTGACCCGGCCAGGGCGACACTAACCCCAGCTACGCCACTGCGTGTTTCAACGATAAATTATTATTAACATTAAATAACTAAGTCAATTTAATCTTTTATTTTATACACCAACCAATTCAACGAGAGAGCACGAAACACACTTTACAAAATGCAACTATGGAAGCAATATGTATTTAAAGTAGTCTCATTGGGCCCAACTCCACGAAACGGGGTTACGAAGCCTATCGTTATTTTTATTGTAGATCCGCCACTGTTCTCTCTGGCTGGTAGACCTATATTAACCCGGGGCAGACGATGTGCCGGCTTATTCTGTAGCACCTCTCACCTGGCTACATCACTGCTGTCGTGAGTAGAGCTACGAAACCAACCACCACGTGATACAAGCCTCCATTTATCAGATAACTCAACCTCAGACAACAACCTCAGCAATGGTAAATAAACAATGTTTAACTAATTCTCGTTAGACTATATTTGCTGTCTTATTAAATCGACTATTTCATTTAATCATTTAATAATTATTATAACTTATCTGTTTTAATTAAAATGTTTAAAAGCCACATTTTAAACACTCAACTAAACTGCGCAGAAATTTTTAAAGGAACCGCTAGTAACTATGGTTGTTTTCCATTGAATGTAGGTCACAGAGGTTCCCACTGGTTCGTTCCGTGTTCACAAAAAATATTAAATCATAAATGATATGCCTATATATAACTTTTTTAAAATAAACATTCTATAACACCAGAAAAGAAATAGAAAATAAATATAAAATTATAAGTTTCATAAAATTGTATTTTCTTAAATTGTTCAAGACTATATATTGTCATTTTTAATTTCATTGTGTTATCTGAAGTATAAGTATTTTTTTTTTTTATGTTAGAAATATAAATTATAGCAAGCAACACACTTGGGCCTATGCCCTATTTTATTCCCACGTCAAAATAAATCGTGAAATAATTTGTTTTAAACAGGCTAATAAGACCTATTTGAGTAATGGCAAATGAGGACTGATGAGTACACTTTGTAGTAGAAAATATCCCGAGTCGCAGCCTTTAAATAATAATAATAATAATAAAATAACCACTCACATTTCATAAGTTAATTTGATCAATCCTTAGAAAAATATTTGCTATTAATAGTATTAAATTAAAATGTTGGTCCATTAGATTACTAACATCAATTTAAAAAAAATATTGTTTTGAAGCACTTGAGTTAAATTTCAAATGTGAATTTTCATTAGGTTTAGAATTAGTATACATTCATTAATCATTAGGTGGCACGATCAATGAGGAGTGACGAATCGGGAGTGACCGTTACGAGTTACGACGTTACACTGTATTGGGGTGTTACGACGTTACACTGTATTGGGGTGTTACGGGTTTACACTGTATTGGGGAGTTACGACGTTACACTGTATTGGGTAGTTACGACGTTACACTTTATTGGGGTGGATCTCCAAACTTCATTCAATATGACCTCATATTGAGTTACCGCGCCGCCACCGGGATACAACTTTGGTCAAAACACATTCCGTAATTTACAAAACAACAAAAACATTTGTGCGTCTTGGCATTGAAATTAGCACTATTTAGCCCTCCCCTTCACAACACGTAGCAGTTGTGACCCACTTCTTTAACTATTGCGCAGTGTTATTGCATATCTGTGCTAAAAATACAATCTTATTATTGTAGCTGGTCGTGCGAGTGATGAAGAGGATCGCTGTTCTGCACAGACTACTCTCACACTCACGTCACACAGATATTTATAGATCGGTCTTCACCCCCCACAACACACAGAGGCATCCTCCTCCACAATATTTATACTACCGACACTACACCGAAGTTGTGTGTGTGAGATCTGTAGCGTTCATGTGGGAAGTAGGGCAGGGGACCTTGGCAAAAAATCCTTACATTGTTACATTGATTTTACAAAATAGACTTCTTATTTTGCATGATATCCCCCCCCCCCCCCC